TGGGGTAGTGGTATTCTATTGACAACACAAATAAAGTACACGTGGCTTTATGGTTTTCACACGTGAGAACATGTATAACAAATGGAATTATACTTCTTTACCAAAAAAAAAGTTTACACATTTGTTGGTCTATACTCACATGGGAGTAAAATTCATGTGAATTAAAATAGCCCAAAAATTTCTACCTTCCCTCGTATAGTAATAAATGAGTAATGTTATTCATAGAGAAGATTGGAAATTGGAGCATAAAGAAAACCCATCTTTTTTCACGTGTATTATGCTTCATAAATTGCAGTTAATTTTAATATTAAGGATTAAACACTTTTTAGTGCTTGAAACTTGAATATCCATGAAAACTAAGAATTTAGTATTAGCTATTGGTCATGGAATCTTGTCCAATATACACCTTGCCATAATTATAATTTGCGCGCCTGATTGTTGTATTTTATTTTACTATTGAGTTTAATAAAGCTGCGATTGAGATGTACTATTTATAATTTTCATTTTGGTCTAAAAATGTTTACTAGTGAATATATACTATGTAAGTTGTCAAGAGGTCGACTAAGGGTTCGTTTGACATAAATTATGATTTTGCTTCTACTTCTCATAAAAGATTTTTTTAAAGAAGTTATCTTATACTGGCTTCTAAAAGCTCTTTAAGTCAGACAAAGTATTTTTTGAAAATTATCCAAACTGGTTTCTGAGAAGTCATTCTCTTTGGCGTCGAAGAAATTAACCCATCTCTTGAAGTTGTGACAGTTGAGTTGCATACACATCCAGAAAAGACTAACATGTTCAGTGGGGCTGAGAGATCGAAGGTACGTAGTGAATGGAACCTGAAGGAGTAAAATTACACATCCGACTTCAACCAACATGTTCATCGTGTTAGGTATTGATAAGTGTAAGTTTTACACTTTTTTGAGGTCCTAAATGCTGAGATTTTGTTGTCTTTTGGATAAAATTCTACCTAATTTATGTTGAATTGTATTTTGTAGGTAAAACTTTATGTTTAATGAAGAATTAGAGAAAAGAACGTAAAATAGTGGTTATGGATTAGTTGTTCAAACTCGGGGAATTCCAGAGTCCACCTAAAACCAAGCACCAAGTAAGACATTTCCAACAGTAGGAGGACCATCAGAAGGCTGCCATGAGATAAACCAGTGCAAGTCCTGATATGTACATGAACCCTGTGGTTAGACTTAGAGGCCGGAAGATTGTCAAGTTAGAGTTGTGGGTTCCTTCCGAGTACAAACGTAACAATTGGCTTTATCAGTAGCCATGTGGAAACAAGATGCCTGGTAGATAGGATCGAATTACAGATCAGACTAATACGTAAAAAAAAATTAAAAAAAAATACACGTGATTTTTTTTTTTATATAAATTTTTTTTCCTAACTAAAAAAAATTAGTTGGGGGATGGAGGGGCCCTAGGGCCCCCTCCATCCGTCCCTGCTGGTAGACATGAACACTATCATAAATCATAATATACCCAATCATTCTGCCACTTCAAGGAAGCAAATTTTAAGGTGTGTTTGATGGATATTATTGAGAAAAAATTGTATTTTAAATAGTGATATGATGTGAAATATGTGATTAAAAAGTAAGGAAAAGTTATTGATGTGATGGAAAATATTATTTAATTAAAAAATATGTGATTGAAAATGAGTTTTGAAATAATATATTTTGAAAGAATGTGTGTCAAATAGGGACTTAGGAATTACACGAGGTCCAAAATTTATAAATATAATTTAAATATTGAATTTTTTTAATTTAAAAAATAATAATTACTCTATTTATGAATTTATAAATGATTTAATTTATAAATAAATACAAATAAGTAATAAATAAGTGAACAATACTTTTTGTTCAATTGAAATATGTTGTAAAAAAAATGAAGTTTAATCGTTTATAAGTAATTTAAAAATCATTTGTAAACTAGTCAAATGAAGTATACATTAAATTCTTAATTGTTGAAGTATAAGTAATTTTCTTTATTTCATTCTCTTTAAATTTATCCTTATGGTATTAATTGAGACTAAGTTGTCTCCCATAGCAATATGGGTATCACATAATTACATTTCTGCATTCCAAATCTTTTAGGAACTTTATCGATATCACTCTTTTGTTATAATCCAAAAATACTCCAAGAACAATCCCGATGTGTCTGTATCTTTAATACAAAAAAGGCGTCACCAAAATCTTTCATTTCAAAATTTCATGACAGAAATCTCTTAATTTCGCACGATAAACATATATCATTGCATGCAAGTAGCATATCATCGACATACAATACCACAAAAATATGTTTGCTCGCATTGAACTTGTGATATACACAATCATCAACTGAATTTATCTCAAAATCAAAAGAGATAATTATTTGATGAAATTTATGATACAATTGATGAAGAAGCATGCTGAAGCGAATAGATGATTTTCTTTAATTTGCAAACCATCAAATGCAGCTCAAGACCAAAATGTGTCACGAGTGACATAATAGTTCTAAAAGGGTCTTTCATAAAAATCTGAGAAAAAGTCTCTTTAATGTCAATGGCTTGTTTTTTAGTAAAATCATCTACAACAAGACGTCATTGTTTCCAAACTTCATTGTTTTTAATGGACTTTATCTCTTTATTTATGGTATCAGTCCACTCTTAAAAATTATTCATTTGCATGGCTAGATGAAAATTAATTGATCAAATCTCCTTCCATCAATCCAATGCCATCTTTATTTTCTTGGAGAAAGACTATAAAATCTTTTGAAATTTGTCTTTCTCCTTTTTATCGTTGACCGGATTACAGATCGAACTAATACGTAAAAAAAAAAAAAAATACACATTATTTTTTTTGTTTTACATAAAAAAAAATTTCCTAACTAAAAAAAATTAGTTGGGGGAGGGAGGGGGAGCCCTAGGGCCCCCTCTATCCGTCCCTGCTGGTAGACATGAACACTATCATAAATCATAATATACCCAGTCATTCTGCCACTTCAAGGAAGCAAATTTTAGGGTGTGTTTGATGGATATTATTGAGAAAAAATGTATTTTAAATAGTGATATGATGTGAAATATGTGATTAAAAAGTAATGAAAAGTTATTGATGTGATGGAAAATATTATTTAATTAAAAAATGTGTGATTGAAAATGAGTTTTGAAATAATATATTTTGCAAGAATGTGTGTCAAATAAGGACTTAGGAATTACACGAGGTCCAAAATTTATAAATATAATTTAAATATTGAATTTTTTTAATTTCAAAAATAATAATTACTCAATTTATGAATTTATAAATGATTTAATTTATAAATAAATACAAATAAGTAATAAATAAGTGAACAATACTTTTTGTTCAATTGAAATATGTTGTAAAAAAATGAAGTTTAATCGTTTATAAGTAATTTAAAAATCATTTGTAAACTAGCCAAATGAAGTATACATTAAATTCTTAATTGTTGAAGTATAAGGGATCTTCTTTATTTCATTCTTTTTAAATTTATCCTTAGGGTATTAATTGAGACTAAAGTTGTTCCCATAGCAATATGGGTATCACATAATTTACATTTCTGTATTCCAAATCTTTTAGGAACTTTATCGATATCACTCTTTTGTTATAATCCAAAAATACTCCAAGAACAATCCCGATGTGTATGTATCTTTAATACAAAAAAGGCGTCACCAAGATCTTTCATTTCAAAATTTCATGATAGAAATCTCTTGATTTCGCACGATAAACATATATCATTGCATGCAAGTAGCATATCATCGACATACAATACCACAAAAATATGTTTGCTTGCACTGAACTTGTGATATACACAATCATCAACTTATCTCAAAATCAAAAGAGATGATTATTTGATGAAATTTATGATACAATTGATGAAGAAGCATGCTGAAACGAATAGATGAATTTCTTTAATGTGCAAACCATCAAATGCAGCTCAAGACCAAAATGTGTCACGAGTGACATAATAGTTCTAAAAGGGTCTTTCATAAAAATCAGAGAAAAAGTCTCTTTAATGTCAATGGCTTGTTTTTTAGTAAAGTCATCTACAACAAGACGTCGTTGTTTCCGAACTTCATTGTTTTTAATGGACTTTATCTCTTTATATTTATGGTATCAGTCCACTCTTAAAAATTATTCATTTGCATGGCTAGATGAAAATTAATTGATCAAATCTCCTTCCATCAATCCAATGTCATCTTTATTTTCTTGGAGAAAGACTATAAAATCATTTGAAATTTGTCTTTCTCCTTTTTATAGTGGATTTTCTTAATTATATTTGTTCTTAACATTGTTGAGTTTGTTCTTCTAGAACAATCTCTTGATTGTGTATAAGGGATTTTGTTATATTATCTTGATCCAAAATTGATTCTTGAATAGGATATGGAGCAATAATTTGTCCCTAGTCTAGATCATTATCAATTGCAACAAAAAAGATACATACATATCATTATTTAAAGACAAAGTGCTTAACCTTAAAACTTAATCTCCCACATCCTCCAACAAACTCTACATCCTCATGGATTCAAACATTTTTTATTTCGAAAAATTGATCTAATAGTGGGATTTATAAAATTTGTAACCCCCCTCCCCCCCAATAGTTGTTTTACTTAGAAATTTAAGCCGTAGTCTTTAGTGCTTATTCCTAGAGAGATTTTGACAAGGTGAAATGACTTATCATACTCCTTAACATATCCATACGTATTCTGTTTCGTCTTTCAGTAACATCATTCATGATAGGGAATATTGATATAGTGTACTGTGGGGACGATTTTATATTCATCTAGAAATTTAGCTAAAGACCTTGGATATTGTTTTCCTGATTCGTTATATCTGTCATAGTATTCACCACCACGGTCATATCAACATATTTGATTCCTTTACTGAGTTGATTTTCAACATCAAGCTTGTAAGTCTTGAACATGTCCAATGATTAAGATTTCTTATAAATGAAATACAGGTAACCATAACGAGAAAAATCGTCTATAAACGTAATATATGATGTTGACCATTCCAAGAAACTGAAGGGAATGGCCCACAAATATTCGTATAACGTTCAAAGTTTTGGCAATAATATCCTTATATATTTTTTTCCCTTAATGTAATTAATATAAACAATTAAGTCTGAAAAACTAAGGAGATCAAAAATTTCTTCATACACAAACTTTTCATTTCTCTTTTGAGAGATATAACCTAAAAGTTTGTTTCATAACAAAGTGAAATTTTCATTGGTTAATTTACATTTAATACTACATGAATTCGCATGCAAAATTTCTTTATAGGAGGTAATCATATCAAGCAAATATATTTTATCATAACCAGATAAAAATGGTACCTACAATATTTGAATTAAGAAAAAACTAATCTAATTATTTCTAATTGAACAAGAGTAACTAAACTTATCCCATATAGAAATAGAACCAAATTCTGTTTAAAAGACGATACTGCAAACATTTCTTTCAAATCTAAACAATAATAGTCTTTAATGATAACTTCAAAGTCCTTATAGTCTCAACTTTAACTGATTTTTCATCACTGCACATAAATGAATCTTTCGGCATCAATGGGCTTTCGGCTATTCTAACAATCCTGTAAGATACATTTATGTGAGTAGTGACACTAGAATTTATCCAACAAATATGTATTGGTATTGAAACTAAATTAAACAAACCAAAATGAGAAGTTTATTTTTCTTTTCATGTCAAGCGTGGTATTTAGTACAGTCTCTCTTTATGTGTTCCAAATTATCACAAAATTAACAGCAAGACAATTTATCTTTTTCAAGTTTTTGTTTTTTTTTTTGTTTTTTTTTTAGCTGAACTAGATTCGGCTTCTTTATTCTTTAACTTGTCCTTGAAAGTATTTGTCAAATGAGTATTTTAAGTTCTCTCGTACTTTAAAATGAGCTCATTAAGAATCCACTTCATTTTTTTGACAGTTGTAACTGACCTTAAATTAGTCGAATTGTGCAGAAATAAAAATCAAAACCAAGTGCACAAGCAAGTCATCAGACAACTCAAAATTTAATGCCTTTAATTTGAAGCAAAATGAAACATCTCCATAATGTACTCTCGTATATTTTCTTTAGCATTATACATTAGTAAAATCAAGTTCGTCAAAAGCGAACTCGTTTTGGGCTTATCGCCTTTTGCAAAGCATTATTTTTTTCAAATTCTTTAAGAAATTTCTTAACAGTAGTTATCTTATCAAACACAGTGCCCCTGAATGTTACTAGAATTCTACGCTTAATGCTCATAAGACTTATGCAGTTTGAACGATCCCCACTTATCCGAGTTCCATTTTTATCGACGGAACTCTTATTCATAAGAGTAGTAGGTTATTCAGCCCTTAACACAAAGTCTAGATCTGTTCCTCCAAGAGCGATACAAAAGTTCTCTTTCCAACTCTTAAATTTTGGTTGAACCATAGTAATTGAATTGACGTTGGCAAATATTACAAAAGTTGATGAATTAATTAAATAGAAAACTTAAACATAACTAATATATTCACATGGAAATCCATATTGAGCAATCAATAAATTCAAATGATAGTGGACCCATCACAAGAAACCGGGCACAATATTGACATTTAGTCCGTAGACAGAAATGTCAACTTATCAGTGATACTCTTGGTGCAGTAATTAAATACTAACAATAAACCATGTCAAACAATAAATATATATTTTTGGACCAATTTATTTTTCCTATAAAATATAACATTATAATTGTCACATATTTATTACCTCAAGTGTGCATGCAATTCAGCCAAATATTTACCTTCATTCGGATCGGTCAATATCCGCATGAATTAAATACACACAATCTTCCCAATATTCCAAATAAATTAATCTAGACAATATATGTTATTTTAGTAATATGTTGTTTCAATTTATTTATTTCAGAAAATTAGTAACCCGAAACTTTAATACTAGGATTTGAATTTAATTGTCATTTACCTTTTATTTTTTTCTTTCTTTTGTTTCCCAAAAAAAAAAGAACAGTAACCGGCATTTGGTTGAAATGAAGCATCGCAGCGCCCAAATGCAGCAGCGATGTGGTGATGCTGTAGGTCCAAAAAAATCCAAAAGTTTGAAATTAATGGCAAAAGATTCACATCCTAAAGTTGAAAAATCTAAATTATGACTTTTAACCCTAAAATTCTTTCTTTAAAAAAAATTCTGAATTACAAAATTTATGGCTAAAATTAACGTACCAAATCAAAAGATTCCAAAATTCAATGTATGAATTTCAACTATAAAATTCTTCCTTAAATTTTGATGGTTTAACATGGAGTCGACTCTGATACCACTTGTTAGAATTTTATGAAACTTTAAATTTTAAGAACACGAAAACTTAATTACTTTATTGCTGAGATCATCCATGTAAAATCACCAAGGAAATTATTAAATGTGGGACATACCTTAATTCATTAGGAATGTTTCTTAAATATGTGATCTTGATTCCAGATCTTGAATTTTGAATATTGATTCTTTTGATTATTAAGTTCTTGATCTTGATTTTAATTTCTTGCTCCATAATTTTGATTGTTTTGTTCTTAAATTTGATTCATGATTATTTGTTCTTCAATTCTTCAATCATTGCTTTTGATTGTGTGAGTTGAGTCTCTCTTCAGTATATTTTCTTTTGCATTCTTGCGTTAAAGGGATAACACAAAGAATAAGAATCACATATAGATTGAGACCATAAATCTATTTATAGTTTTTATGTGTTTGGCCATTCGTCAAATACAACTCTAATAGATTCAATCTCTACATATATAATCCGACTCACTTAATTAAGATGTCCAAAACCCAATAATTTAATTTTTTATCAGATGACTTTAATTTTTGGCTTAATTTTAATATAGCTTTTATACACAATTAATTACATATATCTGCCTACATAATAAATTAATATTTTTTCCCAACTGGCTTACCTTGTGAGCTAACAAGCATTTTGAACCCATGGAATTATGAAATGGAACATACAGAAAGTATCTACACGTACAGAGGAACAGATTACAGTCTATATTCAAACTGGTTCGTTAAAAGCAAATCAAGCTAATGAAAACACAGTTTTGAGTACTCTTCTTCAAATTGGTAACAACTAGCAAATCGTCCATCCCGTTATTAATCAATACCTTTTTGCTAAAATGTATCAGCAAGAGGAACCATTTTTATATTGGAGAGCTGAATTTTTGGATACAAATAGGATTGAAATTGCATATCTTGAATCTATTTCTCTTCCAGACGACGAAGCACTGACTCAGCAAATCTTTGTTGCCTGCAAATAAAAATATACACACGCATAAGAAACACGGGTTTCAGTGATTGTTAAATCAGCAAAGAAAATGAATCATTTGAAATATATCCCAAATCAAATACTGGATAAATATATTGGTGCAGACACCACTTGAACAAGCACCGCATATAAGTAACAAGAGGGTTAATCTTTCCTTTTCCTTTTTATTATGTTCGGGAGAAGTGCGAAACAAAACCCTCTCAACAGCAATTATAACGTACTAACATAATTACATTCAGCGCAAAACATGTTGAATTGATGGACTCGTGTTAAGCTATCCACTATACAGATGTTGATATTGTAGCAAATTAATGAGGAGAGAGATAGACTATGCTCCATAAGTCAAAAGAATCAACAAATGCACAACTTACTTCCGCTCACGATGTTTAGGGCTAGGGCGAGAGTATTTCAAATATCCATCCCAAGGAACCTTCTTAAGGCCTGCCCGAACAGAAATAATGTCCCTCACCCTGAAAGGAACATCAAACCAAGGAGGATCCTTGTTAAGATCGTTCAGAAATTAAAATATTCGTCTCCAAAGTCATAAATGCGTGCAAAATAGAATTGAGACATTGATGTTGACTGAACCTCTCTGCAAATTCAATTGGTGTTTCTCCAGGTTTCAGATTCTGAGGCTCCAGGTACCACACATCACAAACAACAGCCCATGATGTCATGAGCTGCAACAAGTGTGTCGTGAAGGATTGTCTGGAGATAAAATTAAAAAATTGTCCATAAAAGTGATTAACTAATAGTCATTACAATGATTGCAAATTGTACGGTTTGGAAAGAACCATCCCTAGCTAACAACGATAACAACACTATTTATCACAAAGTCTTTCCACAAGAATTAAGTTCCAGCCATATCAAAAGAAATATTTCAAGCAGTCTGCGGACAATAAGTGAAAACATTGGAAATATTATAAGTGGTGTTGACTTAGAAACCAGCACCATGGAGAAACTTACTTTCTACTATTCCAAAAGGCATCAACAAAAATCTTGTTGTACTTGATTGCAATTGGACAAACAGTGCAGCCAAGTTCAAATGCACCCTAAAGACCATAGAAAAAATTGGTAGTCGAGAAAATATATAGAGTAAGCATTTACAATAATTAATTATTTCACTGCCAAAAAAATAATTAATCATTCATAGGAACAATTAATATAGTCAGCATAGAACAATTTGAACTAAATATTCAACAAATAAATTTCACAGTTTAAACTACCAAATTACCTTCTCTTTTTCAGTAACCTATCATCTACTTGAAAGACTTGTTCCATTCACAGGGAAAACAAATGTTCAAGGAGAGAGACTCTCTAGCATTAGAAATTCAACATCATGCTTAAAGCAAAATCATCTACTTCAAAGTAGCACAACATTTTTGAATAAGGAAAACCAATGTGTAAAAAGAGCAGGACTCAGTAGCATCTGAATATCATCATTAAGCTTAGAGAAATTAATTTTTGCAGGGGAATATCATTGTCGGCACAGAAGGAGTTAGTTAACAATAAAAACAGAACTACTGATTTTTATTTGACAGATTAAACAATTGTATGAATAAAAGTTACCTTCTTGAACATCACTGTGTAATGGTTGTTCACACAAGTTCCTTCAGGAAATATGAGAAGAGGATTATTATCAGCCCCTTCAACATGTTCCCGCAGCCTAAAAGTAAAATTTATATTAGAATACCTAAATCGATAGAATTGTAAATATTATGACAATGGGACTTTTTCAGTAAAACATACTTTCTGGCTACAATTCCACGATCCTTGGACTCTGAACGGTTGAACCAGATGCATCCTAAACTTTCTAAAATAGTGCTTTGCAATAATCCTATGCAGAAGACAAACACGATAAGGTCACTTCATTAAAACAGAAGAGGAAAGCATGCACCTGACAGGTAAGCCAACAAAACAGCAATATCCCATCCAGCTTTTAATTAATGCTACATTGATAAATATAATGAAACTTCACAGGAATAAACAAAGTCCTCTCTTTTTCTGAAATTAATTAATTTTAAGAATCAGTACATTAGTCAGCAAAGTCTGCCATTTCACACTATCAAATTCCCTATTAAAAGTTTTAGGAATTCCAGTCTCATTTATATATTTACTAAAATGCAACTCGAGTTATATCAAAGCATTTATTAATTTCTTATCAAAAACATTTCTTTTATCTTAACCTCTGTTTACCAAGACAGCGATGTACATAATATTAAGGTCACATTTTGCCCGAATGTCAGAATTTAGCAAATGTCAAAACTACAGGGTCCCAAAACCACAATGTTATCAATTTTGAGAGGGCATAAAATCACAAAAAATCTTCCCCGTCTTGCACACTTATGGTAGCTCCATTCAGTATTGTAATAGTCATAATGTAGAGAATGTTTCAAGTGTAGCAGTCCTAGATAACCGATCTAAGATACTTACCAACCCAACCAGGATGCTTCTGCATAATTACTGCAAATGCAGTCATTTGTTCTAAAACAATGAAATCAATCATTGATGTGTGATTTGCCACAAAAACCTGCACGGATCATTGAACGAAAACTCAACTAGACATTGAAGATCTCAGCTAAAATATTGTCGAAGCACAGGGAAAAATCAGACAAATACAAAAAGAAATAACCCCACCTGCCTTGGCCGCATACTGGGCTGTGGACCATGGTACTTGATGACTCCCGTCCATGAAGCAACAAAAAAGCTACAAATCAATTCTACTAGACCCCTCTGAAGAGAAAATAACTAATGTGAGACAGCGGCAGATGGATAATTAATTGTACACATTAACTTGTCTCAATCAAAGAATAAATATTAAAAAAAAAAAAATGCCAAATCCATACAGTAAGAAGTCTGAAGTCATACCTCTAACTTTTTCCTTAATTTATCATTCCCTTTCAAAAGGGTATGCACAGGAAAATAACATGAGAGAAATATTATCCATCCTATTGTTAGTACCAGTACCCTGTATTTAAATAGAAAAGCATCAGGTGACCAGAAAGGATTTGTACTGGAAAGTACAAATTTAACAGATAATGCATGCATACATGTCTGTATGTAAAGAGCAGATACATGGCGTCTTCAAAGAAATATAATGTACAAATACACTCTTCAAGATTATACAACTTTAAACATGGGGAACAAATTTTGATATTCCACTTCATTACATCCTTGCCAAAAAAAGCCAAAGATACACAACTTCATGATAATTACAGGAGATAAACAATCTTTGATCAGGTAGATACTAACCTTAACGGGAAAAGGAACCCATATCTGACTACGACTCCCAAACACCACAAAGGAAACAGATACACATTCCAGTTCCATGGTTCCGGAGGATTCGACTTGAAGCATCTAGTGAAAGAGTCCTGTCATGCAGCAAGGATCAGAAACAAAACTGAAGTAGGTAACATATCTATCGAGGACAGAATGCAAAGATGGCCACCAAATTTACAGGAGTAAAAACAATTGTCGCAGCACACAATTTCAGAAAGATCTGTCACCACCACTCATAAGATGTTTTTTGCTTGTAGGAAGAAGCATTGATATACAACTGTCACAGCACCATGCTTTTCAATGACGCCTACAATATATGTAATTTTGTACAAAATTGACAAATCTAAATAGTCAGGTATATACTACATTCAGAGGTACTAGGGAAGTGACAAAACAAGAACATCAGTTTTAATTTGTCACATAATACCCAATTCCAAGGTCAGGACTTATGACTCAACAATAACAAGAAATCATACCACATGATTGAACCAACAAATAATATTTTGTACATGCAGTTATCTTTTACAACCCATTATTAATTGTTCATAAAACCACTTGATCCTATCTTTGCTTCTATATTCATTCATGACTTTGAAATTACAATGCATATATTAAGTTCAAAAATTGAATGTTTTCCTAAATTCCAATTTCTAATTTTTATCTGGTTCCGATTTCCATGCAATGAAACAAATTATGATAAACAAAACACTAGCAAAAGTTTTGGGATTGTTAAACCAAAAGAATTATAATAAACACAATTTGTCTAACACAATATCTCGAGCAATGCATTTATTGAATCCTCTTTAGAATAGCACATGTTTTAGTGAAAGGAATATTGTTCCCATTATTCACAGATTGCTCTCCATAATAACTGCCAAGTGTAATCAAATTAATTGTTCAATTGTAACCACTAAAGTTATTTGTATTTTGAAGCTAAACTACTTTTATACCCTTGATGAATATAAATGTAGGCTGCAGCTTCTATCACTTCATAGTAAAATCTTCTTATTCCTTTTTTTTCCCCTTAAACTAGGATCTATACATTGAAGCACATAATTAGCTGCAAATCATCAATTTATAGCAAATTTTACATATTTATATGAAATATATTGGCTTCCAAATAAAGGATATCGTAATGCTCACTACAATGTTGAGAAAAATTCCTTTAAACTGATTAAATAGGCATCATTAACATTTTATCAAAAAGTTCATGATATTATTGTCATGCATACGGGTAAAAAATCTATTTGAACACTAATCTATTCAAATTCTGATGAAAATTCATGCAGTATCAAAAGGGACCAATTAATTTAGAAGAAAACCGTCTAAAAGGAGGCAAAATTATTCACATCGACAATGGCACCAGCTGCCTCAGTTAGAGTGGGCGAAATGTCGAGCAAATCACGCCTGCCACCACAAATTGTAATTAGCTCAAATTACATCGATTTAGGAAAATAGATACAGAAAATGGATGGAGAACTACAGGCGTAGTTTGCCGCGGGGCTCTTGGATGGATCCAGAAGGGAGATAGTCTTCAATATTAGGTCGATCCAAATCCAATTCTGAGCTGGATGTGTTTAGCTTACTCATTTTGCTGCCTCTATTTCATATAGATTTGCCCCCGCTCTCTCCAGTTTTCTGTTTTCCCTTTTTGTGATGGATGGGTGGGTGTGGTGGGTGACTGACTGACTGACTCGTGCTGGTGTATTGCATTTGCGGCTAGAGAGAGAGAGAGAGAGAGAGGATTGTTTGGTTCAAGAAATTACTCCCGCAATTCAAATCATATTTGCCACGTGGCATCTGACACACTTAACCCCGTTTTACTTGTCCAAAAAGACAAAATCAGTTTTTTTTTTTTTTTAGTAAATTGATGAAATATATAATTAAAAATCGATTAAAAAAAATATTAATTTTATAAAATTAATATTTTCAACAATGCTTGACGACTATTAAACTTCTATTTGGTGTAGATTAGATTTTTAATTATTTTGATAAAAAAAATACTAAAATTTATGATTGAAAAATTATGAATCTTATGAAATGTGGAGATTAAAATTAATATTTAATTAATTAATTATAATTTAAGTTTTGCCAAACATGTCAATATAAGATAATTACATTACAAATGGATCTGAGATCGAAAAGACAAAATAAAGGGTTCGAATTGACTAAGCAGTCAAAGTGAAAGGTAGTGACATTGATTAATCCAAGTTTTTATTTATTTAGCCCATGTTTGACAGGGATTAAAATTTAAATTAAAATTTAAATTAAAATCAATAATTAATATAATTGAGATTAACAACGTTTCAACCACATATTTTATCAACTCTTATTAATAATTATTAAAAATCAAATTTTAATTCCATGAAAATATGGGCTTAATGTTATTTGCGTAGGTTGATTGTATACCCACGCATATAATTGTTGTATTTAGTTTCGTTTGCCAGACTTCTGCTTTTACTTTTATTTAAATAACTTTTTGAGAAATTTTTCTTAATTGATATTTAAAAATTATTTCTAATTGAACTTTCTCTTTCGAAAGAGTTCTATGGAAGAATTTTTATAAAAATAGAAGAAGCATTTCAATAAAATTAACCAAATGAGTTCAAATGTAGCTATTGAGTAAAAAAATCTCGTTTTAGTTTCTCTACAGCCATGTCGAATGCATCATTAATTCGAGCTAAAAACATGAACCATCCAAAAATGTTGAACTTTTAGTGAAATTTCAATTAGGTCACCACAATTAGTAACTTAATTTCAATTCGGTCTTTGAACTTCAATTTAATTTAGGATTTCACAACTTCGTCGTCCATTGTCTTGCAAATTGACAAAATCACTTTGTTATATTTAATCATTAATTAATCCTAAAGATGACTAGGGTAAATATGATACTTAAAATAAAAAATTGAGGAGCTTAGTAATATTTTAAAACTTGAGGGTGTCTCCAATATTCAAAATTAAAAATAGAGGAGATTATTGATATTTTTAAAACATGGGGGTTGTCTCAATGTTAAAGAAATGTAAGGGGTAGGTTTGTGAAAAAGTATTGATTTGACCTCATAAGTAGGGTAAAACAAGCAATTATTTATTTATTTTTTCTTTTATCAAAATGAATGAACTATTTGAATTTAATCAGAAAAACTTAAATCAAATAGTTTTTAAACTATTTGCTTTGATTTTGAACCGAAACATCAACGAATTCATGCGAAATTGAACCAATAATTTTAAAATTACGATTTTGATTACGCCCAAAGAATAACGCGGTAGTTGTAGCACAGTTTTGGAGTGTCGTATTCACAGGGAGATGGAAGAATATTTAAAGGATCAAAAATGTTGAATTGTTCTCTCAAATGTGTAATAAAATTTAATATTGAAACGTGAAATTAAAATCAATAATTCGAAGCGGTGAAGCGTCGGAGTTCCTTCAATTGGATTGGATCAATCATATCAATTATTCATTTTTATAACACAATTAGAGGCTTTCATCCCAACACTCTAATCGGAAAATATATCGTGAAAATCAATTTAATTTACAAATATAATTCTAGAATTTAGACTTAAGACATATTCGCACAATTTTATTGAAACAAGATCAAAGATCGACCATATACATCAAG